CAGCCTGCTCTTCGTAGATATCCAGGTTCTTCTGCATGTGGATCAGGGCTTCGCGACGGGACACGGGGACGCGAGGGTTCGGGTTCAGGATGACTTTGTGCTCGTACACGGCAGCCACGTACGGGTCCGCAGCGGACTCGGTCTCACCGAGACAAAAGACGAGCAGAAAGACGACCAACATCTTCCCCTCTTATACAGAAATGAAATAAATGTTGTGCTTGCCTTTGGTTCATTAAACCAAAGTGGCAGAGCCAACCCTAAAAACATGGGCGGGCATTGGAACTGAGCAGTAACAACATTAAATATTTCTCATATTGATATGCAGTGATGACCATCTTCTTAACTATCTTTTTAAACAGTTTTATGTTTGGACAATGTTATGATTACTATGATTAACTCTGGGTAGAATGGTTTATAACACAACATAACTGTAATAGTGATTTTAACAGTGATGTCTGTAATCACATAATGTGTGCTTTTGTAATTGTAAGTAATGAGCAACTTCAATCAAAGTAGATTGCTAACCTGTAATATGCCATAGTTTTCTCAACAACATGTATGCCATGATAGACTTAGAATAACGGGGAACTGAAAAAGAATGTGTGCTGGTCAGCAGATGGCACGAGACAAAGACAAAACAGAGGAACCAAGAAGGAGCAAAGTGCTGACCTGCAATATCACCGAAACACATTGAGCTGAATATGGAAAATAGAGGCTGAGATAGATCAAAACCCATCAAAGGCAGGCAGCCAGCTAATTTGATCAGTTTAAGGACAAAGTCTCTATTGTCCCTTTTTCAAAGGTGTGATCAGTGAAGCATGTACAGCAACAAGCAAAACAAATGCTACAGCAAAAGAGGGAACAACGGGCGTACCGTTGTGCCAACATCAGGACAGAACAATGAACCTTCATTAGGACAAAAAGGATCCAAGAGCTGCAGTCAGTCAAGGTTCTGCTTTGCACATGAGGAATCAACCCCAAGAGTTTCCACAGATTGTAGCTGCACCAGAATGTTGCGCAGAGAGATTTCTCTTGTCAGCAGTGGTTTGGATCCCAAGGACAAAGGCAAAGACCAAGAGCTTTTTCAAAAAAAAAAAAAAAAAGGACATTTGACTTAATCGAGTCTAAAGGTCCATGGACAATCATCTTTGTGGACTGTTGCCTGCTGTCTGCTCAAGTTCTTCTTCCAACAAGACCATCTCAGGGTATGAAAACCAACTTCCGTGTGTCAAAGCCTCCAATTAGTTCTTTTCTGTTCCAGTGTTAGGGAAAAGTGGTTTATATTAAGATGATCTAGTATTATTATCACTTGATTTCTGATTATCATCCAGTTGTTGCAGCTGAATAAAGCTGTAGCTGATCCCTGCATGAATTCCTAATGAAAGAAGAATATAATATTTTGGAAGAAGGGTGGACATTGGATTTCCTGAATGATTTTTTATTATGTGTTTTGATGGTGTTAAAACAGATGGTGCTAAAACAGCTGTGGGTGCATTATTATGATAGGTTTGCTTAAGTCCAACTTTAAAAAAATAGTAACACCAGTTGGACTCGCAGGTTCAGTTTTACCTGGTTCAGAGTCAAGTGCACGTTGCAAAATAGAGGAAGAGTGATCATTAATGGCTAAGAGGTGTGATCTGTGGAACCTAGTTAGCTGCTGATCAACTAGGATCTGACTAAATTCTTGGAGGGAAGTGGGGAGACACTCAGATGGTTGTTAGAAACCAGACTAGTCTTCCTTGACATACCAGCCAAAGTATAGTTCTTATTATACATGGTCAGTGTAATCTTTGGCGGCTTAGGAATCTCAATACCCATTAGATGGAGAGTAGGTAGTGTGTCAGCTCTTATGAATAGGAAAAGAAAGTTAAGGGGTAGCTATACAGCAACAAACCAAAGTTATTTTGAGGTTGGAACCTTAACAACTTACTATTTTGAACCTTCCTGCAATCTTAAGAGACAGGATCACTTGGACCATACAATTTTATTTTTTTTTTAATCTGAGCAGTCCGGTGGGTCGCATTGACCCCACGTGTGGTTTTACAAGATTCTGTGTGTGGTTTAGGGACTTGGCGATCTCATGGGACAAGCCCTGCTTCTCCGCTGTCTGACCATGCCACTTGCAGTGCTTCTACTGAGCCTCATGCTAAGACCGCAGGAGGGTTAAATTGTAAACATTATTTTTAATTTACAAACTTAAATGCTTGTAAAACTGTGATTTTATGACGTACACTTTGTTTTTCTGTCTACCCCGGCCCTCATTGTGAAACTAAAGTTCATCGCCATGAAATATGAATATTAATCAGTAAAGTCTCATCGGTAAGGTATCATCCCTAAAGTGGTTAGATTTTCGTACTGTATGTTTTTGTTCTTTCTTTTTTGTAATTTTTAAATAACTCTAACTCTAGTTTGACATTTAAAGTAAAGTAAATATACTGACCTTTAAATTACTAATGTGTCCTTAAGTCTCAAAGTTTCAAAACGTGTCGAGTATAAGATTTTTGTGAAGTGCGAAATGCTTGCATTGAAATCGGATGCTGTGATGTTTGAAGCTTTACAAATCGACCAGTCGTACCATGTGACTAACACTCACTTCCACTCATTGCCAGTACACTGTAAAATCTAATTAGTTCACCTTACTTATTTCTTTTTGAGGCAATGAGTTTGCATAATTTTTTTAATCAAAGTAAGCTTAAAATTAGTGAGTACATATATCTTATTTAATTATAAGTAAGCAAGCTATCAAGTAGTACAACTAATTAAAAAAAATTAAGTTCATGTAACAAGCCAGTTTTCTTGATTCCTTGTCCTCCTTGTTTCTCTCTTTCTCGCTCCCTCTCTCTCTTATTTTTTATTTTTTAATTATGGTTTTATTTGCTTTAGTGTCGTTTATTTGAGAGTGGTCAGGAAAATGGGTAATGAGAGAGGGAGAAGACATGTGGTAAATGTCATCAGGCTGGGGCTCAAACCTGAGGCAGCTGTGTCAAGGACTAAGGCCTCCATACATCGGTTGTGCTTTACCTCTGAGCCACCGCAGCACCCCTCTCTCCCACAGGATTATTAATAACATGAGCAAAGCAAGCATGCCATTTTATGTTTGAGTTGGGTACAAAATCTTTATATTATTGCATAGTGTATGTTCTAGTGAGCTAAAGATTGCCTTTTTAGAAAGGTCAAAGAGAAGTTAGATGATGTTAGATGTATTTTTTTGTAAAAACAAACAAACAAAACTATTGAGCAAAAAGATTTGTTTTATTTTGTTTGTACATCACAAGATGTGAGATATGTCATCCATAATCGCAATCAGAATTCAATCTAAGTGATATGCTAGTATTCCACAGCAGATCACTCGTTATCCAGCTGGTACATTCGTCCGTACAGACAGGCAGTGATCAGGCCTCCGCTCAGGTTGGAGTGTTTCATGGCCACTCTCCCACCTGCAGCTTTCTCCAGCTTATCAGGTTGCTCGATTGCCATACGGTTCACTAGGACTGAAGGGTACACGTAATCTGTCTGGAAAGTTGCCTCCATCAAGAAGTCCATCTTAGACTCCGCCTCCTCCACTTTCTGCCCACATGAGCTGGCCTCCAGCCCCG